GGAAAAGGCTCCTTGGGTAACAATGAACGGGTGTAAAAGTAACACGCGCGTTTTGCTCAGCTTTCCGATACCTGGGATGAAGTGTTGCAAAGTCCCGTCGGGTTTTTATCGAGCCCGTTCCTCCCAAACCCACACACGAAAGGGCAGACAAAACCCCATGCCTCGGCCAGGGGAGCAGACGGAGCAGGTGAGTCATTTAAACTACAGTTATCGTGTTCCACACGGATGTTTGTGGCATGAAAACCAGGTGTCTGATGTCAGAGGGCATTTCAGAAAGAAAAACTCACCTCTTCCCTCTGCTCTCCCCTCTGTCTGAAGCAGGGAGCTGGTGTTTCACCTTCAGCTTTATTAAGTACCACGGGGAACTTTATCTAGATTTATTTCCACTCAAAGCCTGCTGGAGATGCCCAGATAATCCATCGGTGTCACGTTAAATGGTGAGTGCAAAATACACATGGAAACAGGGCACACCTGCTTAGGGGAAGGAGGAGTATTAATCAATGAAAAAAAGTGCAGATTGCTTTTAATTAAGCTAATGAACACAGTCGATCAGAGTGCGCTTTTCCTCAAAAAATTAAAAAAACTGCAATCCAAACAAAACCTAGAAGCATACATTTTAATTTAGCACACACACACACTAAAAAAAAAAAAGTCAGTGGCACTCAGTTTGGTAACTTCCACTCCACCGCCTGATCACACATCTCAAATTTTTCACTGTCCAACTGGTGAGCGATGCTGTCTGCCTGGCCCGCGAGGGCCAGCACGCAATCCTTTGGCAGCTGAACGCAACAGAAGATTATTTGCCACGTGAGCAACCAGCTACGAGACAGGGTTAATATATTAGCATTTCCTAAATGAGATTATACAACCCACTGCCACACGACACCCAACATTCCCCTGGAGTTTTAAATTCATAAAAAGCAATAAAAAGTCATCCTTGTTTAGTAAACATTGAGCCAGCTGCATTTTGCCTTTAATTTTTTTTTTTCCTGGTAGCTTACACCCCTGAGCAAGCTTGCACATGAATTTCCTTTCTCCCCAGTACGAGTTTCCCAACTAATCGCCACCCGACCTCTGCTGTCCCATCCCAGAGCAGCCGTGGCAGTAGGCACTGGTCACTCCAGAGGGAAGCTGACAGCCAAAGTTCTAAGTAATTCTGTCCTTTCTTCTCCTCAATTAAAAAACCAAAACCTGCCAAGCCCACGTGGACCACAGCGAGTCTCCTCCAACCGCAATGCCTGATCCCAGCACATTTATAGCTCTGAAATCAGACCCAAGGCAAACAAACAAACTGGCTGGGTGAGCATCTCTGACGCTTCTGTTTTCCAGCTGGCCAAGCCCATGTGTTTTGACAAGGCAGAAAGCATGATTTAGGAGCCCAGCACAGCCCCAGCACGTAAGCCAGCCGCTTGCTTATTGCTCCTGAGCTAGAATTAAGCCCTTATTGCTCCTGAAGCAACACTGCTCTGCAACCTAATTGCAACCTCTTTATTTATTTATTCCAACAGGCTTCTGCCCATTCCTACCCCTGACAAGTTGTATTCCATCTTCCCCAGCACTTTCCACCCATCTGGGATGAAGAAATAAAGCCAATTGTTCCCAAGATTTCTTTACAGAGTGAACAGGATGAGGGCAAGTCAGCACCAGAAATTTATCACCATCTGCAAGGCACCACCACGCATTGTCCTTGTCAACAGCTCACACAAATATCCCAACAAGCTGGAAAACCCGGGTTCAGGAAAAAAACAGGGTATGCAGGGTGGTGGTACAGCCCGTACCGAAACAAATCCAGCAAAATCCGGTACTGTCAGCAGGAGCACCCAGAGCGTTTATACCAGTCTCTCCAAATTCGCTGTCTCGACAGCTTTCCTCATCCAAAGCCAAATCAGAGGGAATTTTCTTCTGAAATGCCACAAAAGCCTGCCAGGCTCTGAGGAGCAGAAGGTGAGAAGAGATGGCAGGGGAGGAGTATTCCTACAGAATTTGCTATTTGCAGTTCTTTTGCTCTAGCCAGAATAAAGCCACGGTGTCGCAGCAGTTTTGCCTTTCATGAGGACTAGCACATTCTGACATTTTGAGGCCAATCAGGTACACCACTATAAATAAGAAGATGCTACTACAGGGGCAAAGCTGAGCTGTGAAAAGTTCCTGCAGGGCATCAAGCCTCTGCAAAGCCCTTCCCTCCAGCCAGCCGAGCAGGTCTGGCCGTCGGAAGCAAGATCCTTAACGCTGCCACTGAAAAGGTTCAGGAGGGACAAGCTACAAGCAGGAGAGCAGCCTTAGCCTGGGGAACAGCGATGCACAACCTGTGCCAACAGCCAACAACCCTCACCTAAGTGACGAAGCAGAGTCGTATTCAGCACCGAGCAAAACTCTCCTGCCACCTGCCATCCATGGGTTCGCGCTCCCCAGCAGACTCCTGACATCAAGGAGCATTTAAGCTGCAGGTAACAACAAAAAGCATCTTATGACACAGCAACGGAACGTACCTACACTGCCTTTACACACTCAGCCAGCCCAACATGGCAGGTTCCAGGGAGGAGACCAGCCACAGAGTCAGCATCCTTGGGAGACAGGGACTCGTAGTGCATTCAACACAGACTGGATTTCCAACCTTACTTAAAAAACAAAAAAGCAAAAACTATTCCATCAGTTATGTAAAATTCCAGGATTTGTATTTTTTCGGGTGAATGGGGACATGGAAAGGGGGAGGAATCCCCAATCAGGACTATGGATCCATTCGTAGCCGAAGCAGAGCTGGTTTGAAGGACGTCTCTTTAGGCTGTTGGGGAGAATACAGAGCAGCCAACATACCGGCTGCACCAGCCTAACAGCAAGCTCCAAGATAAACTGGGCACCCTAATATCTTTAGGTATCCCAGAAATCTGCATCACCAAGCTGGAAATCCCTGTCTGCGAGATGAAGCGCATGTTCTCCCTCTGCAAACAGCTCGGCACCCGCAGCAAAAGGCTGAGACGCCCGGTTTCAGCTCAGCTCACCTCTCTGCCCACACACCAAGGCTCAGAGACCCGCCAGCCCTTCCCTCTCGCAGCCCTGCGTGATGGGGCGAGATCCACATCAACTCTTTCCTCTGCTGACGCCGACAGAACACCTCGAACGCGCTCAGAAACCACCGACTTTTTATAGCTTGTTCGCTAGAACGGTGAGAACAGCGCAGATCCTCACCTCAAGGCGGGTTTTCCAGCAGTAGGAAACAAAGAAAAAAGTGCCTCAAATCACCTTCAAATTCCCAGAGGTTTGTAAAACTAGATCCAAAGAGACAGGAATGAATCCTGTGAGTGACGTGACCTTCTGCTCGCAGTCTCTGCTGGAGCCTGGGCTCTCAGGCAGCTCGGGGGAAGGCTCGAGAGCCAGAAATGGCAAAAAGCCCTTGTGAGAGTGAGAACAAAAGCTGCTCGCGGTCCGTGAACGCAGGCAGTGACTGAAGCTTCTCCGCAGAAGGGGCCTGAATCCTCCCAGCACAACACACGTACAGACACATTTACAAGCCAAAAAGCTGTGCAAGGTGGAAAGACAAGAGTTTTGTTAGACGCTGATCCGGCTGGTAGCGGGAAGAGAAGAAACCTGGAGTTTATCATCACAGCAGAGAGCAACCACAGCAAAGGATGTATCCTGCCTGCAACCAAGAGCTTCCTTACAAACGGCTCTTTTCTCTCCGCACAAGGATCCCCATCGTCTCTTCCAACACAGGATTAATAACACATGCTGATGCAAATGCTGAGATGGATTTTAGCACAAGTTACAGCCTGCAGACTAGCACTGGAGAGGATTTTCCTGCACAGGACAGTCTATGGGGAATCTGGCTCCCTCGCCTGCAGCCCACACTTCCCAGGGGAGCTCAGATCTGCCAGAACACAGGTATCACAGAAAGAATAAGCCCAGGAGATCTCTGTGGGAGCAGCAATCACCTGGGATGAAACAAACGCGACTAGAAAGGGAACAGAAGGGTCCTGTGAGCGGAGCAGCAGCACCCACCCATCAGCACCAGCCATAAAAGATGCTAGAACAAGCCACAGCAACATTAGGAGAATCCCTCACCACTCCTTCCGACTGCACGGGGCAACCTGATACAAGAATGACACGTAACAGGGGTCACATCAGTGCCAGGGACACGTGGCACCTTCTGTGCCCATCACAGACAGGCGTCTGCAGGCTGTGTTTGGGTTTATTTCACAGTCAGTTTTCTTTTTTCTCCTTCCTTTACGTTTTCAAGCTCAGTTTAAAAGATCTGAGGTGTACCTTTCAGGTACAAAACCAGTTCTGAATGCACCAGCTCCTGCAGCTGACACTCATTTCCAGCTCTGTACACAGCTCCTGTAAGAAAGAATCATCATCTCCTCTAACGCTCAGGGAAACACCCAGACCTGGAGCCCCAGGGACAGCACACCCCCCAAGCTCCAGAAGCCATGGCAACGCTACACAGTCATTTTCAGCGGGAATCCTCCCCTCGCTGCCAAGCTGAGGGGATTTCTCAAAAGCAAACCACCCACTCCAATTCCTAAGCCAAGGATGCAGGTATGACACCGGCCTCTCTTGACGATGCTGCACCCAGAGAGAGGTTTCTGGAGAGGAGGATGTGCTTTGTCACTGCTGATGCGATTTATCACGAAGCAGCCAGCCAGTCGGCAGCGGGGGACCGCAGGAGGGTAAAGCAAGTCTCCCGGGAGGACAGACTGGCCTAGAGCACAGCAAGGGCTTTAATGATCCCTTCCATGAAGAAGAGCTCTCTCCACGGGAGACTGCTAATGGTCAGAGCAGAGGGCTCGGGTCCATCCGGACAATTAAATGTTCTTTGGATCCAGCTCTGACCTCGAGTCATTTTTGCTTCAGTTTTTCAATAAGAAAGCTCTATTTCCTCCTCTGCAGGATCCCTTCAGCTACACAAAGCTATGTTACAGACAGGTAACAAGGACTGCTAGGGAGCGGTGTGGGGTAGCAGGGAGGAAAGGGCAGTCATGGATATTTTAATGTGTACATTTGGGGTAAAAAGGCTTTATTAAAAGTGCATGCTTTCCTTCAGAGGTACTGAGAGCAAGGAATCCCCATCCCAGGCCTGGCTGGGGAGTGCAGCAGCCTTTGCAACCCCTAGCCCTGTCCATCACAAATCACCCGTCAAGTAGCCGGCGACTGAATGTTCTTCAGCATTTCATCAAAAGCCTCACGGGAAGGCGCTTCGGCGTTCTGGAAGGAGACCTTGATCCGGCTGTAGAGACTGAAGGACTTCAGCTCCAGCCAGATGAATCCAAAGCGATCGTCATCAAAGAGAACAAAAACACCTGGTGTTCGCTCGGGGCTGGTGAAGCCGTGGCCAGCAATAAGCCCCGTCCCATAAAAACTGCAAGGAGAGAAGAAGAGCAAAAAAAAAAAGATGTGAGAACAGCTGTAATTACCCAACATGTAATAAACTGAACAAACAAACAAAACTACGATCAAGCCATTGTCAAACACACTTGCAGGTGGTACCAAACAGGGAGTTTTTCAGTCTGTTCTTAGCACACAGGACCAAACATCGGTGACACCATGTTAAGAAAATAAACTCTTCAATGCTATTTGCAGGTTGCTGCTTTTGGCTATTCTAATTAGCACCTGCAGACCAAGGCTCAATTTTTTGGTAGTTCAGCCCAGTAATCCAGCTGAGATTCACTGCTGCAGCTCAAGGATCAACCCAGACCCAGACAATTGTCACAGAAAAGGAAAGGCATGTTGAGAGGGTGAGAGAGGCAAACCTTGTGACAAAACCGAGGGGAAGGGAGAGAGAGAAAAAATCTAAAAAAAGAAAAATCTAACTGGAGCTGGGGAGGAGTAAAGGTCAGTCTAACCTCCAAGCAAGCAGCAGGTGGAGCAGGGTTTTATTTGAACACAACTGGGTTGTGACAGCAGGGGCCTTCTGGGATTAACCGGCTATTGGTGGGTTTTTCCATGAGCACAGATGTTTGGCTGAAGGTCACCTGCCTACACTTCAGCTTCTGGGCTCTTTTTCCACACTTCATTTAGACTGCTGCTTCACTGACTCCAGGTTCCATTCAGCAAGGATCTCTGCATACTTGCACCTACTCCTTAGGGTGCTCAGCACCTTCCAGAGCTGGCCCCAAGGCACCAGAGGCCAGGGAGGGTGGGAGAGAGCACCGTGTTCCCCCGGCCAAGGAACACAAGTGACATGCAGAAAAATGAGAAGCGGCTTGAAGAGATCTCTAAAGACACGAACTGGGCAGCTCTGGGAAACAAAACACACAAAAAACCAGGGGGGGTGGATAAAGGAGAGGTGCTAGCTTCAGAAGTAACAGGATAAAATCTAGCAAGGAAGCAGAATGGCAGACGACAGTGCGGAGAAGGAGCAAACAGGAGCGCAGGAGACAGGGCAGCAGCAGCAGAAAATCTGAACAGAAGGGGATGGGAGATCAGCATGCAGGTAAAGGGCAAGCAAATACACAACATGCCTCAATGTCCCCCTCCATTTCAAAAAGTGACTGGCACGACTCAGCTATAAACCACTAGTCCCCGTTACCAAATTCGGCAGGTCCGGGGATAGTCTTCATTCCTCGATATGACTCCCATGGGCAGCACAAAGGGCTGGGAACCTGATGCCTTGTCCTGGGTTGTCCCTTCCGCCCCAGCTGCAGTCTCCTCCCCCTCGGCACCTTCTCCTCCCAGGGGCGGCTTCGCAGCAGGGTGGGAGGCAGCTTGCTGGGAGCGGTCCTCTGCCTCCTGCCGCTGTTCCTGCTCCTGCTCCTCCCGGCGCACCTGCTCCTGGACCTCCAGGACGATGCGAGAGAGCTCACCGAAATCGCGAAGGTTCTCAACGTCGGGTAGCTGCAGAGGATGTGCTAGGTCTATCTCCACAGTCTGCTGCCCAGCTGGGATGTTGGGATCTCCCTAGAGATGGGAAGCAACAGCATGGCTGCAGAGGCAAGGTGCTACAGACCTGTATCCTCCCCACATCCATCATCTGACTTCTGCACTGTTCACCCTATTCTACAGTCACCAAGTTGGCAACAAAAAAACACCCTCAGACCTTGTTCATTGTTCCCTGAGCTGTCTACGTCGCTTCTGCTTTCCCAATCCCAGAAGCAGAATTTTAAATCAAAAGCTGTGAGCCACGCTGTCCTTGCAAGGGCGAAAGAAAGTCAAAGTTGCAGCTGCATTTTGTCAGAATCCTGCCTGCAGAGAGGAAGGAGCTTGCTAGCCTGGCTTCAGTGAAGAGCTGCCAACATTTGGTACCTGGCTCCTAAGATACATGCAAGTAATCTCCAGTGACCTGCTACCAGCTGCTCAAAGAAAACAGCTGGAAGGGAGAGGAGAGGAAAGGGAGCCAGGTGGCATCATGAGAAGCTTTGCAGAGCAGGGTCTAGCTGCTCTGCACATTTTAATATTGACCCAATGCCACCAATCCCCACGAGGAACAGCGTTTGGGGTGGCAACAACTATCCCTCAGTCAGAGATCTCTTCTACAAGTCCACAGCATCAAGAAGAGAATGCCCTAACAAGCATCTGAGAGAAAGGAAAAATGCACTCACAGTGATTTTAGTCCCTTTTGCTTTCTTTCCATGAAAGCTCAACATGACAATCTCCAGCCCATGGCTCCCATACGTTCCCTTGAAGAGCCCTGGCTTTATAAGGTCGTCGGGGCTGCTAGGAGGGAGGTAGATGCGTCGGTATGTCAAGCAGTTGCTGTGTAAAAAACAGAAGGTCAGAGAGGTTAAGAGAATCCCTCGAAATCAGGAGCACGTTTGCAGTTGTCGAGAGAGGCAGGATCTGTGTTTCCAGCAATGCCAATGAGTTTAACAGATTTCACTTCAGACCTACGGAAGCACCCCTTCATTTCTCTCCACCAGCCCTTGGTAGCACACCAGGAGGCTCCTGCAGCAAGGGCACAGTAACCTCCCCACTCCCTGAGATTTCTGGAGAACCTCAGGGTGAAGCATATTTAAACATCTGCTACAGCAAGGTGGCTGCTGTTAGAAATTTGGAGTGATAGTTAAAAGAAATAACCCAGTTCTCAGGGACTGTGCGATTTCTGCCTAGTGCACTACAAAGCATATTGCTTACTAATACGAATAACAAGCAGATAGCTCCTTGGGATCATGAATATTTGCTCTGTCTTCAAATGTAACACAGTTAAATGACTCCAAACCATCTTTCTGTGCATAGTTCTTGTAAAAAAACTTGGAACCTTATTATTACTGCTGTCATTACATCTCATCTCTCTGTACAACTCTAAAAGGCTGTGCTTCACCGTATCTCTGCACAGAGCCTGCAGAGACAGGACATTCCTCTGGCTGTTAAAGCCCACTGCAAACACCCCATCTTTGGAACAAATGATTCAACGTGCTCCTGAAGTCGCAGCAGCCTCAATACCCAGAAAGAGCTGGTGCCCTTACTCGTATTGGCTGGTGTAGATGAACTTCATCAGGATGAGCTCTTGCATGTGTTCATGGAAGATGTCTTCCAGAGTCCGACCCCATTCTTCCCTTAGCCACGTCCGGAATTCCTGCAGCGCAAGGAGAAGAGAAAAGGGGGACAATAGAGGAGTTTAATTTGTGACAGTGACATACATACCCTAACACGACTGTGCCTCGTCAGAACGATGCACCAGCAGAGCCACAGAGAAGGCACACGCTCTGCCAAAGACAGAGGACCACGGCTGGATTTGGGAACAAACACATCTTTCCACAGAGCTGGCTTGGAAAAACGCTTAATAAGTCACGACAGTGGCAACTGCCCCATACTGGCCAGACTCCACACAATAAACACGCTTCCCTTCAAATACATCACAGGTAGAACCAATATGCCTCCTCAGAATAAAAGCGGAAGCATCATCTTCTACTGCAAAGTAGCTGATCTACTTCTTTACGTCCTGACGTACCTCACAGTAACTCATTTGTGTGCCCACAAGCTGACTCTGTGCCCTACCCTGACATGTTAAACATAAAAGAGGAAGCTTTTGAAGGCTTAGGAGGTTAAATCCTGCTGTTTTAACACTGACACATCTAAATCCAAAGGGTGCTTTGAAAACATCTCTTGAAGCACCTCTACACCAGCTCTGACAAGTTAATACTCTGCCCCGAGTTAGCACGATAGCAGCTTACACCAAGATCGCAGCCTACCCAGCGATATTCCAAACCTGCTTTATCTTGTAAAGCCAGATCCCCCAATTACCATAATGCCACGCACGCGTAACGCAGTGCTTTCCAAGTATTAAAGCATTTCTCATCTGCTACAGAACCAGGAAACACTTAACTAAACCTTTCCCCCATCTGGTTCCCATTAGCAGACAGACATTTGAAAGCACTTGTTAGAAGCAACCGAAGGATCAGATCTGCCACATTTAACCAGCTGGCAGCAAACTACCTGGAGCAGGTATAAGCGGAAGGTTTTCATCCTGGCATCTATACCTGCACCTTCAAACATGCCGTTTGAGTCGGGAATCTGCCTTGCTGGGTGTGGCTGACACAGACACGGGATAAACAACCAAATGAAGCTTTTAATCCCTCGACCAAGATGACAAGCAGGTATTCAAATGCAACTGGTACTCAATCTTAGGCCTGTGTCTGAAAGATCTTAATTATCCAGACAGCAACGCCACAGAGATCGTGTCTGGTGAGTGCTGCACAGTATATAATGCATGTTGCTGTCTTTCTTTGGACAGGCTGCTGTCGAACAGGAATGGTGTCACAGCACAGGGAAAAAATAACTCTTACCTCTTGCCTTCCCCCCGACATCCGATGGTGATCTGTCTGGTTGCATTTCGTGGAGAACTCATCCTTCTTTACAATCTGTAGTTACCATGGAGGAGAATTAACACCTGATTAGAGATGCCTATGATGATGTAACTAAGACTGCACAGAGCGAACGCTTTACACAACACACGTTACTGGATCTGCTACAACAGAGAAATCATTAAGTGACACAGAGTGATCAGCTACAGAATGGAGAAATAAAAGCAATAAAACCCCGACGCATTCTAATGAAAGATGCTAGTGCTAAGCTGCTTCTCTATTTGAGCTTCCTTCTTCAAAGAAACAGAAACAACCTCTCAGGAAGCCTGGTCACATCCACCAGCTGCACAAGGCCATTGTACGTATCCTCTCCCCCAGCCTGTTCACATACTGGTGCTCCCACCCTGTTCCAGCCCAACAGAAGAGAGTACAACAGCCTTGCTGTACTATCGCTGGTGAACAAATTCAGAGCAGGGAACAGCCCACACAACTTGTCAGACACATAATGAGCCTAAAGCTGGCATCCACATGTACAACAAGATGGTGAAAGCCACATCCCTTAAATAAAATTCTCACACAGTTTTTGGCTGAATCCCTTTCCAGAGCCAGCGTGCACGCAGGCACACACACGCTGCACCCCGGACGGATGCTGAACGTGCTGGAGGAGCTCACCTGGATGTGGCCGTTATGAGGACCCTTATGTCCATACATACACTCCACCGTCGCACTTTTCCTCTCCATGAGATGAATCCTGAAGAGAGGCTTGAATCTCATGGGATCATCAACGTGAGGGTCATGAGGTGGCAAGTACATCCACCCGATGATGAACAAACCGTCCACCTGCAGAAGGATGGGAGACAAAGCATCCGAGCTCAGCCTTGCGTGCTTTCTGTGGAGTTTGCAGCAAACAGCTCCAGGGCCTATTCCGCAACAGGGTGGGAGCTGCAGAACAGCTTGCTGCATTTCCAAACTGCTTTCCAGCAATTAAACCAGACCATATGCACTCACAGAACACCCCTGGTGAAGAGGGAGAGGGTTTTTTTTTTTTTTTACAAGGTTTTCTGCACCACTGCAAAACGATCAGGCCTTTATTACTGCAAACGACTTTGTGACGGATGCTTGGTGCGCAGGATCCAGAGGGAGAGACTCCACCGAAGAGACCACACAGCTAGTCAAACTCTAATTGGTTTGCGAGCTCATGCTGGCAGATACTCAAATAGAGGAATTCTGCTTCTCGTGATTATCCGTGCCTTTTGGACAGGGAATTATTTGGCTGTATTACTCCCAGACAGCAGAGAAAGCCACAGTCTCCTCTGCTGAGAGGCACAAGAGCCAGCCCTCTCCCTGCACGCCTAACAGAATCCTTCCCCTCAAGCCCTGCCATTCCAGAGAAAGGGTATTTTCTAAATAGAGAGATCTGAGACAAAAGCAGAGCAGCGCCACAGGGGCACACTTGTCTTTATAAGGTCACAATATCATGTCAGTATCGGTGCACTTGGATGCACTCTTATGTTCATGGAACGGAATCTTGCAAAACCCAAAGGCCTCGTGATTTGTTACGCTTCAGCCTGTCAGCGATTGAACCTTGGTGCAAAGAACAAGAGCTTCAGGCAAACTTCTGGCCCAGCTCAGGCCCATGCAGAGCCAAGCGCTGTTCACTAACTGCTCTCCCCAGCAGCACAAGAGCTGCCAGGCTCCACGGCTCTTGCACCAGTGCCCTACACCTGATGCGTTAGTCTTGGACACGGCCAGTGAACAGTGTGGCGAACTACAGGACAGAGAGGTGTGTGAACTCCAGTGCAAAATGCTTTGCAAAACATTCAGCTGCAGGCCAAGATAAAGCAGTAAGCGATGGGCCAGTGCTGAAACCTCTGCTGTACACGATGCACGAGGAATGGACTCCTGTGCCAGCCACGGGAATATCAGCATTAACTCTACATCCAGCCTTTCCCTGAAACATTGCTCATGCTTTCTGTGTGCTCCTGCAGCTGTCTGGAGTGCAGCTGAAAAACAAAAGGATGGAGAGAGGTGGTGATGGTGAAAAGATCCAAGAAGCAACCTCTGGGTCCCAGTCACTTGCTCAAGGGTTGACTGTTCAGACTTCTCAACAGCACAGAGAGGGCAACCAGGTGTAGTACACAAAAGATTCATCAGTCCTTGACACCGCAGTCCCCGGAATGAGGCACTCACTCACCACCACGTTCAGCAGTCCCCCGTAGGGCCCGATGTCCGGCTGCCATAACCCCAGGATGTGTCGGTATCGGTGCAGCACTAGGGAAGAGCCAGACACTGAATTGAGCACGTCAAACTAAGGAATTGGGATTTGAAGAAAGAAAATAAAACTGCTACCAGACTGCACCCAACACTGACCGATACCACCCACAACTGCCTTCCACAGGCGGGCAGTTCTGAACCAAGGCCTCCCACAAGTTCACACAGATTTCTGTTTTTCCCTGTAGCCCTGCTTCTGGCCTGGTGCAGGGGCAGGAATTAATTTCCAGGACTTTACACAACCAGATACCTCACCAGGATTACTCAGAAAACTTTTGCAACATGGTTCCGTTAAAGCAAATCACATGATATACCCAGAGCTAAAAACCAAATTATCTCCAGTTACCAAAAATGTGCTTGATGCCTCAGACTGCAAAGCGACAGAAAATAAAGACGGGCACAAAAGCAGTAAGGAACGGGGAAATTCAAATATTTTGAAAGAATTTCCCCACCTTGCACAGAGAAACTTGTCTCCAGAGTGAAGCATCCCTACAAACAGCCACTGGGAGAGCACGGGCAAAGCGCACAGAGCATGCCAGCTCAGATCTGGTGGTGTTACCAGTTCAGGAACAGCCTTAAAAAGTCTAAGTAAGCGGTTACATCTCAGCAGTGCCCAAAAGCTGCTTCCAAGTCCCTCTCAGAGCCTGCTGCAGCAGGTGAGGCTTCCCCACTTCTCACCTCGGAGCTTGGGACACTTTCAATCCCACCTAAACAAAAAAAATGCCTATTACAGAATAATCTTAAACCTCCTCTTGAGGAAAGCTTAGAGATGCTACTCGCCTCCAGTCCTTCCACGTTCAGCCATGAATTCTGTCCGTGAAATTTCCTGACACACGAAGGCATGACACACAACTGGGCATTTTGGGCAGGAAGAGGAGGATGGAGATGATCTCTAAGATGGCAAGAAGATATTACACTTGCCTTACAGTGATGTTCATGGCCAATTCATATGGCCATAGGACTGGCTTGAATAATGGGCTTTGCTGTGCATCAATTTATAGGAAGAATTGTGTTTGAGTGCAGCTGTGACAACAGCTTTGTTTCATTAACTACTTAAGATAGCAAGAACTGTAGGAGTGGTTTCATTACACCAAAGCAGAGAACTTCCACAGAGGTTTAGGTCAGTGGGGAGGGTTGTCCAGAGCTGCTGCCAGCTGGCCCAGAGGAGCTTTTTTCCTGTGCAGTAAACAATGAGAGATTGATGGCCTGCTTTCACCCAGTGAACCCAGCGCAGCGCAAACAGCACCAAGGCAAGCGAGCAAACTGCCTTCCCCGGCTTCTCGTCCCAGTGCAGTAATGACATATTAATACATGGTATGTGCACAAGCCACTCCACCCGCCACAGTCTGCCTTCTACCCTGCCTGGCATGGAGCTGTTAAAACACAGATTTTTTTTTTAAATTATTTTTAGGATAGAAAACTTGACACTAAGCTACCCAAGAGTGATGAGGATGTCTGTCCTTCTCCCCCAGCTCCTGTCGGAAGCACTCTCAGAGCTGTAGCTACAACCAACAGACTTTTCAACAGCGAGGAAAGTGTCTGCTTGCCAAGGCAAGCCCTTCCACTCCAAGACACAACCCATCGAGGGCAGTTTGTGTGCTCACATGGAGTAAACAGCCAGCTCCAGCTGCAGCTCGGTTCATGGCTGAGTCACTGCTTCACCATCTGCCCCGAGCATCCGAAAATCTGGGGCTGCAAAGGTGGGAGGCAGCCAAAAAACCCCATTCACCTCCAGAAGAATCCTACCCACTGGAGAGCAGCTTCTGTGCTCAGCTTATACCTCAACTGTGGGCAGTTCTTGTTTAATTTTTTAAGACCCCAGCTGGTTGGCATCACAGACGAGCTGATGGGAAAGAGGCTGCAATGCGAGCAGCGCTGCACCCGCACACCACTGCCCGCGGCAGGGACACCTGAACGGACAAGTCATCTACCTCCCTTGCTCAGGGTACTGGGGACTCCTCCTCCTCCTCCTCCTCCTGTTCTTTCAGGAAAGGACATTACTGGAGAAAATGCTGTCCCAAACAAGTCCCAAAGCAAACATACAGCTCCATTTTCAAGCCTGGGGTGTTTCTGGGCTCCAGCGAGCCAGCAGCTATATTCATTGCAGGAAAAACCTGATGGATTCCAGCTCTGGCTCTCCCTGGCAGGAGACAGGATGGATCTGACAGTTGTTTCCCCTCACTGCTCCTCGAAAGAAAACAGCACTTGGGTCTTTCTCCAAGGTTTTCCTCTGCAATACACACTGCCTATTTTTCTCAGTCCTGAAGAATTTCTGAGCCCACATCCTGCCAAATGGAGCAAAAATACATCCACTGGATGCTCCAGTACAACCCTCACCCAGCTCTGCAGATGGAAAGGCGGCTTGAATCCGTCTGAGGGTGGGCTAGGAAAAGCAGAGAATGCCCAAGCTCAGGAAGTGCCTGGGAAAGGTCTAACGCCTGTGCTTTTCTTCAGAGTTAGGCACAGGACAAGGAAGGGACACTGAGCAAACTCACAGTGATTCAAGCAAGCATCGCAGCACCGGCACACCGCAGACATGAACAAGTTACCACCCCAGAATGGGTTATTAAAACACGAGGAGAGCAGATGCTTCCAGACGTTACTGTTTTAATGAAATGTCATTGCATTACCTGGGTCCAGCTTGGAGAGCACAGGCAGAGAAATGTAAAAACCTAACGTGGGAGTTTGCAGTGAAATCTGCAGCCTTTAAAGCAGAGCTAGCTCACTTTGAGTGGAAAAGACCCAATCCACTACAACTCGCTCGGACTCTCAGGATACAGCAAGATATCTGTAAGCAACATGAGTTGGAACAACGCAAGCAGTTACTGCCCTCCAGCCGCTGATAACCGACCCGCTCGTGGAAAGAGCAAAGTGTCAGTTTAAAACCCTGGGGAAAGTGACCTGAGCTGACCTGGCTAACGCTGTGTGAATGTGAACTGGGGAGCACTCACATGGTAAATCCTGGCAAGAGAGTCTCAGTGCACAGGAGGGGGAAAAGGGTGATCACATCTTAACTCACACCAGCTTCTCCCCAAGTAATACAACACACCCTGAGAGAAAATAGGCATGAGACATCAGAGGTTTGGGGCTGCAGCTGAAGAATTAGCTGAGGGAACAGCACAAAAAGCCATTTCAGAGCCACCACAAATGGCACATTTGGAGCAAACACCCAGGTAGCAATCTACAAAGGAATCCCTCATCCTGCGGGGCAGCTTGGACGTGCCTCTCCCTCCCACCCAGCTCCAGAGCAAGGCTGGTGCTGACAGGCAGGACTGCCAAACCTAAAACTTCCTGACACTGCTGCTGCTTGTCCGTCACGGCTCACATTAACACCATCTTCTCTGCATGGCCCACACTCGCCTGCTTTCTTTCTGCTTTCTTCTTTAGCACAGGTAAGTCTGCAGCATCCACTCCACGCATCAGCGTGTGCGGTAAACTACATTCCCAAGCCCCAGTGAGTTTGTTAACTTGAGTCTGCAAAACCCCGCAGACCCAAAGGAGCATTAGAGACAGCTCCACACCCCCTCCAAATACCAAGCAGTACTGGCTTCCTTAATTGATGCAAACTAATCAGTGCTTCTCCCTAACTCCTGCCAAACACTGAGCGTTCAGCTCCAATGTTTTACTATTCTTCCCTCAACACAACATTAGGAGGGAAAGAACAATTTGCCCAGAGCAGCTTCGTGACTAAGGCAGGCAAATCACAACCTCTGAAACACCAGCAGAATGTGTCCTGGGGATGGAGACGGTGGTTAGAAGCAGTCACTGCGCAGGGAGGGAGTTAGTATGGGAACCCTCAGCATTTTCCACTGGGAAGGGCTGTGGAACTGAATGCAGCTCATCTGAATCAAGACAAAGCTTTTTGCCAGTCCAGAGCTTATTTAACCTTGCTTTTGGGAGCCCTCAGCAGGGTATCTGAATATCTCCTTCTAAGATGGGAGCAATCCATGAAGAGCAGAGTGAGTCCTCCCCTACTGTGAACAGAGATCCTCTTTTTTGTGCCCAGTCAGGACAATTTTTGAACCCAAAGCATTTCAAAAGGAAACCAATTCCCTGCCTGTCCTACTCGCATCATCACTCTGAAGGGTCAGAACACTCCGCTAACGTGCAACAGAATGAACCAGCACCCTCCATACGGTCCCAAGGTCCAGCCCAAAATAATTTGCTTAAAGCCATGTCACACTCCATGCAGCATCTCGTGTGTGCTTAGTGCGGGAAGCATCAACCAGCAGGAGGTACGTACGGCAGGTGTAAACATCTCTGTACTCCATGTGCTCGTAGTCGGGAAGGATTTTCATAAAACGCCCTGACTTCACTCGTGGGTTTATACCTGAACAGACACAGCAGGGTAAGTACCAGCGAACTCTGCTCCACCGTAACCAGCACATAACAGCCCGATGCATCTGCACCAACCACGCAGGAACGTCAAACTCGCTTTTGACTTTACTTCCAGTTGTGGTGCATCCTTTTTTCCATCAGTCTCAGGCATACTCAGTTAGCAGGATTACTCACACAGAACTTGGTGCCATCAAGATTCCCACAGATAATGTTTACAAATGGCATCCAGTGAATTCAGAGTGGAATCAGGGTCCCCCCCAAACCCCATAGTGTGACTGTAACCAGCACTTAAGCTCAGCTCCCCATTTCCCACACTGATTCTCACATTCAGTGCACAGAAAAGTGCATGTTGAGTCCTCCCAGTAGCCCCAAATTAACTCTTCTGCAATTAAAGGAGTTTATGGGACAGTAGAGAAAACGAGATGACACCACCAGGAAACTGCTCCACCAAGTGTCTGCAACAG